ATGGTTTCCACTACAAATAACCATTACAAACATTACAAACCATCAACTTTTAACCATTAAAAATGGTTTTCTGTAGTGTGTTTTGGGACATATTCCATTAGGATTTATTGGTTTTAACAAGCCATCTATAGAAGGCAACCAATTACCAGTAGAGACCAACAGAGTCCATTACAGTTTCCAGTAAAACCAATATAAGTCCCATTATAACCAAGTAAAACCATTACACATTTTCTAATGGTGTCTATTGTTTTTTTTCAGCAGGGGTTTTATTAAAAAAAAAATTATTATTCAAAATATTCCCAAAATATATCATGAAATATCTCAATTCTCAAATATGTGCAAGTAAATGCATTTAGTTCTAAAGTATACTAATAGTGTAATCTATTAACTTTGCATAAAAATCCGTCTTTTTACTTAAGTACCAGATATGGGTGTCATACCATAAAATATTTTTAATACGACTGACTTTAATGTGAATTTAATAAAAACATTGTAAGTTACTAATTAGCCTATAACACTTTCATTGTACAAAAAGAGAGCAAAGAACGTTTACATTATCGAAGAACATTTTCACTTCAGTCCAGCGAGTTCAAGCGCGCTCAAAAACTCCCATAATCATCTCTAAAGCTGTTTACACTGTGAAATTATCTTACTTGAATTCGTACATCTTCACTTTGTTGCGGTGACGAAACCGCTTGTTTCAGCGATGACTCAGCTGAACGCCTCTGATTGGTCCTTGCATTCATAAACTCAACAGAATCGTATGTGATTGGTTTTAAGTGCGCGGGTGCTTTGAACACGTGTGTGTCTCTGTCTCTGTGCCAGCCAGCGAACGCAGATTTGAATTTAGCAGCTGGTGATGTTTTTCTTGCATTTCACCCAAAATTGTTTGGTGTGATCTGATTCCAAATTTAGGGTGGGGCCAAGCTTGTTGACAGGCACTGCCAACCCCCCCAAACCTCCTAGAACCGCCCCTGCAGTGATGCTACTAGTGTGCTATTCTGAACTATGGACCGTCAATCAGCTTGAGAAGGGTATAACTGCAGCCTGGAGATCTCCAAATGGGATCACTACCCCCTCCTACCCTGCGAATTTCGAACCCCGGGACGCCCCCGCTGCTTAGATCAAAGCGATAGAGTAAAATCTTTCCCCTGCGCTGTGCTTCCCGTTTACATCATGAAGCAGAGGTTCAAACTCCAGTCCGAACACCACTGGCACAAGCTTTGGGCTCTGCTCTCACTGAGAATATTTACTTATTTTAGCATATTTTATTTTAGATGAACTAGAAACAGTTACATTTATAAAGTTTTATTTTGAAATGTAAGTCAATAACAATTGAGCCAATGGTGAAAGTCTTTGCGCGAGGAGAGCCCGCCCCATTTTGGAGGTTCTGCCCACTTTTGGAGTTCACGCCCCATTTTGGAGATCTCCGGTCTGCAGTTATATCTACTTGGAGAGCTTCCATGACTGGAACAAACTGTTGTATAAAATGCAAAGACATTTTAGCAAGTCTTGCATTCATGCTGTAAACCTGTGTTTTTGCAGACACAAACACACACACAAATAATACAATATCCTGTTTCATCTAGTCTGCTTTTAAAAATATTCAAAACACAGATATAAAACATTCTCAGAATATTTCCTCACTATATATACATATATACATTTGAATTGAGGCAGCTATAGGTGTGAGAAAGAAAGGGGGATCCCAGCTGTTTAGTGATAAGAAAATGGCTGCTCTTGCCCTCTGCCCTGCTCCTAAGACCCCTACTGAGACACATTACACCTGCATACAGTTCACCACCTTGCCATGGGCAGCAGTGAGACTGACATGTCACCTATTCAGACCAGAACGCAGTAAACAGCTATTAGAGGTGACAGGTGACCCGGGACAGTGAAAAGGCCATATAGCACAGCCAGAGGTTGAAATACATGTGAACTGGCATACATTCCTGAATAACCTCTAAATGAATAATTATACATAAATCATAACCTGCATAAATGAACTTAAAATTACACATAATGGTGTTTCTCTTGATTTTAAATAAGTTGTGCAGGAATACAAGACTGTATGTCTTTCCTTACCTTTTTGTTTGATGTCTGCTGGTCTTTTCTTCTCGTACTGAGGCCCTGTTGACAGCAGCCCAACTTAATGTTAAGGACAACTGTGTGTTCTGTTACATCTGTTACATTTTGACAATTTACCGGTACAGGAAGATCGAGTGCGAGTGAGACCTTGACATTTTCTCCAAGGTGTAACAAGGTGTGAATGTGAGACAGTGTGCAAAATTAAACAGAAAGAGGGCAAGAGAAACTGCCTGTTCTCCATGGTGTGTATCTTTGCTGAAAGATTCAGAATAAACCTGCTTTTTGTAGCACAAACAGCAAAGACACAGAGTATGTGTGTCTAAATCTTCTTCCCCTCCTACAGCTCCCACAACAGTCGCTACTTGCTGAGTGACCATATGGCAGAGTAAAGATGAACAGAGATGAGTCAAAATGGACAATGAAGAAATGAACCAGAAGACTTTAGACAAAGCATATGCTGCAGGTATTTCTATGGATAGAAGTATTGTGGTTTGATATGCTTAGATATGGAGAACTATAATAAACACCTATAGTGTTATGAGGCTAGTGTGAGTCAAGTGTAAATCTATATTTAGAAACAACAGAACTGTCCCTGCTGAGCTATTCTTCCTTTGTCAGGAATGAAGAACTATTAATTTCTTCATGTCTGCATGTGGGACGAGACTAAATTTGTGTTTTGAACGCATCAGTTCCTCTTGAGATTACACACATGCTAAGGTAAACCAACAGACTTTTAGTCTATCTATCTATCTATCTGTCTATCTATCTAGCTATCTATCTATCTATCTATCTATCTATCTATCTGTCTGTCTGTCTATCTATCTATCTATCTATACATCTATCTATCTTCAACAGTGATAATTAGACGAAATATTACTTGAGCACCAAGCCTATTAGAATGATTTCTAAAGAATCATGTGACATTGAAGAATGGTGTATTGTCTGCTGGAAATTCAGCTTTGTAATCACAGGAATTAAATAAATGTAAAAAAACAAAACAAAAAAAACATCAATTTTAAAAGATATTGCAAAAAAATGTACATTTTTAAATGTAACACCATTTCACAATTTTGCCGTTTTTTTTTTAGATTATCTAGATTACAATAAAACTGTACAACATGATAAGCAAACAATTGAATGAAAAAGTAGCAAAGTAACTTTCTGTGACTGTACATGTCACACATGTGACTGTCCTTATTTATTTACTTGTATTTTTAAACAATAATCAGATATTCTGAACCCAGATGCATCTATCTATCTTCAACAGTGATAATTAGACGAAATATTACTTGAGCACCAAGCCTATTAGAATGATTTCTAAAGAATCATGTGACATTGAAGAATGGTGTATTGTCTGCTGGAAATTCAGCTTTGTAATCACAGGAATTAAATAAATGTAAAAAAACAAAACAAAAAAAACATCACTTTTAAAAGATATTGCAAAAAAATGTACATTTTTAAATGTAACACCATTTCACAATTTTGCCGTTTTTTTTTTTAGATTATCTAGATTACAATAAAACTGTACAACATGATAAGCAAACAATTGAATGAAAAAGTAGCAAAGTAACTTTCTGTGACTGTACATGTCACACATGTGACTGTCCTTATTTATTTACTTGTATTTTTAAACAATAATCAGATATTCTGAACCCAGATGCATTAGTTGGGTTAGTTCACCCAATATGAAAATTCAGTCACTGTTTACTCACCCTCATTAATAGCCTTTTTGACTTTCTTTCTTCTGCATAAGAAGATATGTTGAAGAATGTTTTTGCCATATATTAACTATAAATGCTGTTTTGGTCCCCACAGTTTTTCACTGTATGGACAAAAACATACTGGGACATTTTTGATGTGCGCTCCACACAAAAAACTAAGTCATACAGGTTTGGAACAACATAAGGGTGAATAAATTATAACAGATTTTCCATTTTTGGATGAACTATGAGTAAAATAAAAGCAAATCGCCAAGTAATACACATAACTAATAAAAGTAATTACAAGAAACAAAAATGAAATGTAAGAGAGTCTAACTGGGTTTTTTATATTTGGTATGTTTACATGCACCCAAATAATCCATTTATAATCAGATGGCTCAGTTTGGCTGAAATGCACAAAATGTTTGTTTCCCAACCGCCATTAAATTGAAAAAAAGAAGAAGATGGTGCAGTTGGACTGAAAAGCCTATATGTAAACACCTCAATCAATCTGAACAAAATTTTGATTACATTGAAAGAGGTGGTGTAGACCTGAAATAATCCAAAGAACAGGAATAAATTAAGCATGTATTGCATGTATATAGCATGAATGTTCCTAATGAGAACCTTTAGTCCATGTAAACACACCTCTTGACACTCACTTGATTGTTGTCATATTGCGTCAGAAAAATCCTGCTAGTGCTGTCTATCTGAGAGCAAGCTTAATCATTAACCATTTAAGCAGAAACAAATAAAAGCCGTTTATTTGTAAATGGGCTGAGGAAATCCCACAGACAGCTCAACATTGGTCCCCACAGTTTTTCACTGTATGGACAAAAACATACTGGGACATTTTTGATGTGCGCTCCACACAAAAAACTAAGTCATACAGGTTTGGAACAACATAAGGGTGAATAAATTATAACAGATTTTCCATTTTTGGATGAACTATGAGTAAAATAAAAGCAAATCGCCAAGTAATACACATAACTAATAAAAGTAATTACAAGAAACAAAAATGAAATGTAAGAGAGTCTAACTGGGTTTTTTATATTTGGTATGTTTACATGCACCCAAATAATCCATTTATAATCAGATGGCTCAGTTTGGCTGAAATGCACAAAATGTTTGTTTCCCAACCGCCATTAAATTGAAAAAAAGAAGAAGATGGTGCAGTTGGACTGAAAAGCCTATATGTAAACTCCTCAATCAATCTGAACAAAATTTTGATTACATTGAAAGAGGTGGTGTAGACCTGAAATAATCCAAAGAACAGGAATAAATTAAGCATGTATTGCATGTATATAGCATGAATGTTCCTAATGAGAACCATTAGTCCATGTAAACACACCTCTTGACACTCACTTGATTGTTGTCATATTGCATCAGAAAAATCCTGCTAGTGCTGTCTATCTGAGAGCAAGCTTAATCATTAACCATTTAAGCAGAAACAAATAAAAGCCGTTTGTTTGTAAATGGGCTGAGGAAATCCCACAGACAGCTCAACATTTTCTGATCAGCAAAAGATACAGGGCGTAGAATAAGTACTGTGACACGATGGGATTTTTTAAGAAAAGGCAAAGAGAATCCCTCATTTTCATAGAACTCAAAAGCAAGCAGCATACATTCCCATTCCAAAGTTCAAGATTCATTCAAGAGCCCTTGCTGGTCGCTGGTTTTGCTTTGCTCTTGAATATAGGCAGTCTTAGCCGCCAGGACTTCTTGTAATCAGTAGCTTTTTCTATGTTCTCTTTCCCTTGATCTACATAGTTTCCAGCTTGCATCACAGTCTTTGCTATGTTGTTTGCCATTTCACCCTATAAAAAATAGGGGGAAAAATTTAAATTATGATATGGCAAGGTAATAGTCCCATGGCACTTATGCACAATATTTTGATCATTAAATTAATTTCAATAAAGCACTTGTGTAAATCAACTATTCTTGCTAGATAATGCCCTGAAATGTTTGTTATTAACTGTGTTCTAAGGCATGGTGCACCATTTTATTTTAGTTCATTCACTGAACTCTCCAGCAAGCTTACAGTACCTGACTATTGACTAACGTGGCTATATCCATAAACATGCTATGCAGCTCTCGAATGCTGGCCTCCAGATAGAGAATGTCCTTATGCCGTAACTCAATCTCATTCAGTGCTTGCCCCGTTATGCAGGAGCCAGAGTTGATCTGCGCACAAAGAATTCTATTAACATTTGAAGGGAAGCTTACAGTATGTGGAAAAGTGCATTCACCTGTCTGTTAACCTTGAAACTTACATTTGAGGTAAAGACAGCAGGATTGTTACTTTGCAGCAAAACCTCAGTCTCCTCTTCAGTGACAACCTGGCCACCTTAAAAAAAAATCTAGTTTGATTTATATCTATTTTTCTATCTATCTATCTTATATATATACTATATAATATATATACTATATATATAACCATGATACATATTTTTCCAGGATTTTTTGATGAATAGAAAGTTCAAATTAACAGCATTTATTAGAAAATAAACATTTCTTTTAATATTATGTCTTTACTGTTTTACGTACTTTTGATCAATTTAATGCATGCTTGCTGAATAAAAGTATTAATTCCTTTAAAAAAATCTTACCGACCCCAAAGTAATGAATGGTAGTGTAGCTAAAAATTTAAATATAATATAATATAATATAACAATGGGCAGTGGTGACCAAAGACATTTTGTTCTGGTGTTAGAAAGTGTGTTAGTTTACTCACTGATTTCCAGCTGTCTTTGTATCTGATCTTTACTCTTTGTCCGGAAAGATAGCAGTTCTTGATTGTACATGTTCATTATTTCTGCAAACCTCAGTGAAAGTACTGTGTGCTATAGATTAACAAAATAAAGATACATAGAGAAAAATTAACAAAACAAATATCTGAAGAACAATATTGAATTTATAATACAGAGTGACCTCCCACCTGAGTACTCTGGATGCGATAGTACACAGAGCTGCTGTTAGCATTCTCATACTCTGAGAATGTTCCTTCTAAATCTATATGAACAATCACAGAATCATGTTTTTAAATGTGAAACAAAAGATTCAGTGACAAAATGAGTGACAAAAACGTTACAATCTTCAGTGTACTGGTCAAGACAATGTACTACAGTTGAAGTTGAAACCAAAGACAATGGAGTTGATTGCTTTCTTTCAAGGAGATATAAAGCTGGGTTTAGCAGAATATTTATTGTTGAAGATAAAATAAAACTTACACATTTCCAAGTTAAAAAAGAGGAAATAAATTTATCCAAAATGTCCAATAAAACAACAGAAGTGAGCTTCACTATTTGCAAGTCAAATCATCCCTTAATGATTTCCCCTGTAAGTGTTTCATTTCACAGATCAGTATGCCTGATTACTTCTTCTCAACGCCCCCACCCCACCCCCTTCCAAAAAAAAAAACCATTTTAATTCAATTACCTTTTAGTTTAACCTTGATTACATCGGCTGTGTGCTTGATGTCACTGCTAAACTGCTCAAGTTCCTCTCTCACATCTGTTAATAAGAATAGACATAAAAATGATGTACAGAGAAACACAGAGCAAAAGTGAACTGATCTCAAGCCTTTTGAACAATAATCATTAATAGAGATTAATAGAACATGGAAAACGTTTTAAATTTCCTAATATTTCATAGGTGCCTATAATGCATATAGAACTAAAGACACAAACTCAATGTACTCACAATTCGGTGGGTTGATTTCTGTCAAAATGGTACTATGTCTCAGCTTCACTTCTTCCACACAGAAGGAAATTCTCTCTATAAGTTGCTGAACCTCATTAACCTGTTCACGTTAACATGCAGGAGTACAATTGGTTCTTCCTATTTTCAATTATAATGCAAAGACAAAGTGACAGTTCCACACATAAAAAGGCATGTAGATGTTCAAACACAATTGCACATATACATACCTTAGGGATGAATTTCTCTAGGAAAGCATTGGACTCCACAGGAGCGATGATGATGTCATGGCAGAGCTGATCGGGGAAGGGTTACAGTCGAAACAAATAAAAAAAAGTCACGAAGACAGCTGGAACTTTTCTGTCGTATAAACCACTGGCTTTAACTATTTTCAGCGTATCAAACTTTGTTTTAACAGAAAACATGATATAAGGCAACAATGGCTAATCATAAGGGATCAATACATGTTATCAAGCTGTATATAGCGAAACTAAGTAACGTTATACCTATAAAAACCGTGAATTATTATAGTATTTTACATCTAAATAACATAAATTTAGGAAATAATCTGAAGTCTCACGGCTGTTAAATCGCCCAGACGGTCCTTCATTTCGGCTTCAAATTAATTTCTCACCCGCTACAGCACGCACTGTATGACAGAATGATTCGTTGGTAAACTAACTAACGTGAACGAATGGTTCTTTTGAGTTGAATCTCTTCAGTGATCCAGTTGAAATGATTCACAAAGTCGGTCTGAACAATTCATTTGAAGTGTACTACCGAGAATTGATACGAACTATTCAAAAGAACCGATTCGCAGAAAAGCGAGTCGGACTTTACAAACCCTAACAAAGACAGATAACAGCCCCGCCTTATTTTACTTCCGTACATCTAGGTGTGATGAATAAACATCGTCGTTCTCATTTCATATTATATACGCTTGCAGATTAGAGATTAGTTATCACAGCACTTCTGTTATTAAGGTAAACAAAAGTAAAACAGTGTGAATAAAAGTTACTGTTCAGAAAACAAAAGCGTTGCTGTTCAGTTCTCGTGCGGAGTAGAAGTTTCAGATAGGACTCTATTATTATTATTTTTATTATCATCATTATTATTATTTTATTATTATTATTATTTGCATGTACGTGTAGTTTACATTATTTTATAGCACTTACTATTCAATTATGTGTTTGTATTATTAGGAATGGTTTGTTGTTCTAATTATTTAAATTTAACCATAATCCTAAAAAAAATTTGGTAACCCTCTTGAACTTTATAACCATGAGCCCCCTATATTCGGGTTTTAAATTAATTTTTCTTGGATAACAAATACCACTTTGCAATAGCAACCAGCATAATAAAATGTATTTGCACAGCTTAAATAACTGCAAGCGCCAGACACTGGAAGACTTGCATAATACACGTTATAAATGCGGAAAGATAAATAATAATAATAATTTAATTCATTTCGGTGGGTCTAGTCTTTGCAGTAGAGTTGGCAAGGTGGCGCTGTCACAAAAAACTCGCAAGTCACAGGTAAGGAACATCTCACTGTGCACATGCGCATCACGTCAGCCAGATGCCGCTACCATGACAACGTCTATACACACAAACACGCTCGCACTACTGTGAGAGAAGAGAGCAGTTGTTTTATCCTTTTGAATACAAAATTATTTTTACGTTTGCATACTGATAAATTGGAATTATTTACCACTTATTTGAAAGCAAAAAATGTCCGTTCCTCACAAAGTTGGGTCAGTGAAATCTAAACAGGTATGTAAACGATATTATCACGAATGCAAATGAATAAATAATTGTTTTCTAAACTACTATTAAAATTATTTATAATGATAATATATTAATGTTGTTATTCTGAAAAAAAAAATCCAACTCTACATTCTCCAACAGCTTTCAAGCTGAATCCATCTATAAATCTTTCAAAATTTCATTTTAAACTTTTGGGCCAGGCTTTCTCAAGTCAACATCTAGTTAATAACTGCTATTTCACTTAAGAATTGCATTGCACTGATGGGAAGACCCAAAGGTTTATATTTTCTCTTTTAAAATGCAGGCACCTAATGTTAACACCCACCAAAAGGCAGCTGTGGCAAAGGGTGTCAAAGCAATTGGAAAGAAGAAGGTAACGTTAGCTTTCAAATCACTTTTCATTGAGATAGGAATGAATGCTTTGTCACATATCGGGATTTCAAGCCTCTTTTGTCATGCAGGATGAAGAGGAAGGGCTAGACACAGCTGAAGGAGAGGAATGGATGCAGGGGAAGACTCTCGTGAAGCCTCCAGACCAGCTGGACTTAACTGAGGCAGTGCGTAAACCTGTAGAGGACCTGTGGTCTGACTCTGCCTAAATTATGTCATATTATAGTAATGTTGGAATGATTATTTACACATTTCTATTTTTTGTCTTCAAAAGGAGCTGAATGAAGAGATTACCAGAGTCCTAAAAGCAAGCAATCCAAATGCTCCACAAAACGTTGTCAGATACAGTTTCAAAGTAAAAAAACAAATAAACTGCTGCATCTCTACAACTTATTGAAATGATGGTCTTTAAACTTGATGATTTAAAATCAGCCTAACAAATCACTAAAAGCTGTTGTCTTTTCAGGAGGGCTGCTATAAACCAATTGTCTTTGTGGATCAGATGGCTATTCACTTTGAACTAGAAGGGAATCTTGTGCACAAGGACTCTGATGAAGGTCGGAGATTGATGGCTAAACAAGCTGAAGTGGATGATGGTGGAGGAGATGAGAGGCCAGACAATGTGTCCATCAAAGCTGGCAAGAGAGAGCAGAAACTCACCAACCAATTCAACTTCAACGAGAGAGCCTCTCAGACACTAAACAATGCTCCAAGAGTAAGAGGACCTATGGGTTACATTTCTGAAGTTTTATCTGCCTTTTGTTTATTGCTAAGTAGTCATTTAACAGATGTGATTTGCAGATTTTCTTTTACAAGGACACAATGGTGATAGCTCATAGCTTGTATAACTATAGACAGACTTTGTAGATTTTCTTTATTTTCAGTTTATGCATAACCCACTGTATTTTTTAATGTTTAATATTTTGCAGGACATAAGTTGTCAAACTGAGCCTCCTCCTCGTGCAAACTTCTCAGCTACAGCCAATCAGGTGGGAAAATCTTTGCCTGTGCTTGTCAATTATTTTTAGCAAAATTTTTTGCGGTACAACAGTACTATGGTGAATATGGACATGTACAATGTTAGAATGCCCTGCTCTTTCTGCAGTGGGAGATTTATGACTTTTATGTAGAGGAACTTCAAAGGCGGGTGAAAAGTAAAGAGAAGCACGAAGGCCAGTTCCTAAATAAGGAGGAGGACAAGAGCAAGAAGAAGATGATTCAAGCTGAGACTCAGGTGGCTAGACAAGAAATGTGATCTGACAGATTTTAACAGTGCAATCAAGAAAATTACTTGTATTTTATTTAGTTCAAGAATGCGCTTGATTTGTTTTAAAAGGTGAGTTGAAGGAACTTTATAACTTTATGCTTTATAGAATGATGACATATACCAACTAGCTAAGGTGGTCAAGATCATTGAGCGTATGGTGAATCAAAATATATTTGATGACGTTGCACAAGGTAATTATGAAAAATAATTTATTTTCAATGCTACACCCTTTATTTTAGACAGATATTACAAAGTGTTCAAAAAAGAGCATGCAACTGTCTGATGTAAACGCCTTTATATCCAAACCTCAGATTTCATGTACTTTGAGGATGCATCCGATGAATTTAGAGGAGAGAAGGGCACTCTTCTCCCACTATGGACGTTTCAGTACGATAAAGCCAAAAGTCTGTCTGTGACTGCTCTCTGCTGGTGAGTTTCACACTGTATTAAAACAAATGCAGTCATTTTTTTCAGTCAAAAGAAATATCACTACTTTGAGTGACATTTGTTTTTGTTTATTTCTAGGAATCACAAATACAATGATTTGTTTGCTGTTGGTCTTGGTTCTCGTAAGTTTACTATTTATCTTATACAAGGAATAATTTGTAAGTTAAATGGCTCTGAAATGTGTTTCATCTTTTCCCTTCAGATGAATTTACTCAGCAGGGGGGTGGCATGCTTCTCTTCTACACCCTAAAAAACCCAAGTTACCCTGAATTCATATTTAACACGGCCTCAGGAGTAATGTGTTTAGACATCCATGAACATTTGTCCTACCTGGTGGCTGTGGGATTGTATGACGGCTGTGTCGCAGTGTACAACCTGAAGAAAAAGACTGATCAGCCTATTTATAACAGCAGAGCCAGCTCCGGCAAACACACAAGTGCTGTGATGCAGGTATAAATGAGGAGGAAGTGACCAAAAAGTCCATCAAAACAGTAACTGTACACTTTCATTACCTAAAATAATATATAACAATGGAGTTGTACGTTTAATACAATGTTCGGAATAGAATACTACCATACTACTCTTACGAGTTCCATAATATGATTAATGGCTATTTAAATATAATAATATTTCACAAAATTACTGCTTTATTAAATAAATGCAGCCTTGATAAGCATAAGAGACTTATTTCTAAAACATTAAAATATCTTACCAACCCCAAACTTTTGAATGGTTGTGTCCTTAAAATTAAATACAGAGTGCTTGTAGGATATAGTTTTTTTGTGACTGTTGGTTGATAAGAAAGTCTTGGCTGTACTGTGTTTTGTGTTTCATTGTCTTCATTACAGGTGAAGTGGCAGAAGGATGATTTGGACAGTAATCACAACTTCATCTCTGTGTCTGCTGATGGACGAGTGGTGTCTTGGACTCTGGTAAAGGTACAGAAGGAAATATCTAAAGGTTGATTCTAAAGCAAGTCATTATTGTATAAGATAAATTGATGCCAGTCATTTGGATTTTAGCATGAACTAGTCTTTACGGACATTATCAAGCTCCCAGTCATTGACACAATTCCAGATGACTTGAAGGATGTCATTCCAACAGGTATGTATCACCTTACCACACTAGTCAGATTTTACAACTTTTAAAGATTTAATACATTAATTCTACACTATTGTATGAAAATGATGTTTATAAAAAATATGCAATGATGATGTGAGTGGGGTTTTCTTTCAGTATAAGGACAGGGGCCGTTCAGCTGTGATCAGGGTTTAAATTGGCCCGGGGCCGTCGGCACATAGACTCCAGGGCTCGACATTAACGCTTCATTAAAGGGGTCATATGATGCTGCTAAAAAGAACATTATTTTGTGTATTTGGTGTAATGAAATGTGTTTATGCGGTTTAAAGTTAAAAAAACACATTATTTTCCACATACTGTACATTATTGTTTCTCCTCTATGCCCCGCCTTTTTGAAACGCGTCGATTTTTACAAAACTAATCGGTCTGAAAAGCGAGGTGTGCTCTGGTGGTTAACTCTTAACTTTTATAAAGAATATCTCTTTGGTTTTGAGACTTTAGTGTTTTCAACTTTACAGATCTTCTTTATGCACCAAGAGCTTGTAACACTCCAAAGAGAAAGGAAAAATTGAAATCGCATCATATGACCCCTTTAACACCAGACAAGTAACATGATTAAAACATCATTAACCAAAAATAACTATAACAGTTAGTTAGGCAACATCACACAACGTTTTCACCATTACGACTGTTTAATACTTCAATAAAT